GCGCAGCATATCTAAAGCAGCTGCATTCCACTCCTAAAAAAGCCACCCTCTCTTCTAACCCAGTGTCCCGTTGGTACCAAGGTCTGAAAAGGTACGAACCTATTACACAGCTTCGAATGTGCTGGAGCCCGCGCTAGTAACCAGTCTACTGTTACGTAACTCGCAGTGACCAGTCAGCCTAAATGCAGTAGATATACGTAGAGGCGTGTCTGGTAATGGAGACGACATAAGACGGATGAAAGGTTAGAATCCTTTAGAGAAATTTCCTGGCTGAGCATTCCGTACCTTAAAATGTCATTGGTATGGTTTAATGCTTGACCATTTGGCCCAGTCCGGTCAGGTGTGCCGTCAAATGCTCCCGGTTCACTCGGATGGTTCACTCACTCGGTTCACTCGGACGGCTCACTCGGCTCGGCGTACTCGGCTCGCCCGGTTCATTAGCACCTCAGCCTACCGCGCTTCCGACCAGACGCTGTACAAGACGCGAAAACTTGCCTGCAAGATCTCCAGCCTTCTTATTCCATTTCGTCCCTTCAAGGTCGGCCGCGCCTCTACCTGTACTTTGTTTACGGCTTGCTGGTCATTGCAGTCATGCATAATGGAATGAGGGCCTGCATCCGAGGAGTGTTCCAGCTGCTCACATTCATTATTGCCTGACCCGTTATCGCGTGCGCTGTCAGCGCAACTCGTTATAGCAGCATACAAATGGCATGTTTGCCACATTTGCATCACAGCAAAATTTGGTGAGCAACGATAAAGTTGAATATGCTTGATCATTTCACCTGTAAAATACTTGCATACCAATGCTTGATATTGCTATAACAATCACATACTGCTCAAATGTTACTTCATCAGTGACTTTCGTTTCATAATATGATGGTGAGAAAGTTCACGGTTTCCCATAAATATGACGCCAGAATGTTTTGCGCTCATGTCAAATTTGTTTAGTACCAGTGCCGCGTTCACACCAGTGCACTGCGGCCCTTTGGATGTTATGTTTACGGAGGTGGCATTAGGGCCCTTGAAACGTGTTTGTAGTTCACATCACTGCACTGGACTAGCGATGGGAAACGGTCGCATATCACGTGACTCTGATTAAAAAGGCATGACTAGAATCTTTCCAACAAAGCGAGGCTAACTGTGTCGCGTCTACATAATACATGACCCAAGCGTCTATACGGTATGTCTTCTTCCCCTCCACTATGAACGTCGCAACATAATGACGTAGCAGCTTTCGGCAGATGAATGATGTCGATAAACATCGTAAAAAGATGCCGAGGAAATAGTGGCGACAAATGGCTGAAAAGGACAGCCAGGTCCTTTTAAAATTCCTGCTGCAGACATCAGCAGAACGCGTTCTGTGCACGCACCCCTGGCCATCGTCAGACTCGCACCTCTGACCTTTTACCTGGTGAAGGGGCGACCCTGCCACGCCCGAAATTTGTTTTGCTGCCTAAGCGTTATCTGTGAACATGCTGTAAAGCCGAAACGTGAGTGAGAAACCGAGCTGTTTGAACACTCAGTTTCACAAATCCGTGAGTTCGGGCCGAGTGTGACCAGACCCAGAGTCAGACCCAGGGTCAGACCCAGGGTCAGACCCACGCGTGGACAGAACACGTCGATTTGCGGCCGACCCACAGGTCGTCGGTAAGGCTGCAATGCCGGCAAAAGGCCATAGTTTCTCGAAACTCACTCTAATTCGCGTGACTGGTCCGTATATAGCAAAATATTTGGCCATCTGCAGTCCAAAACACGCAAAAATGAGTCTCATTTCTTCTGTACTGTTACGCGTTATGACAGCTGTAAAAGAGTTGCAGTGCCTATAGCATATACTGGTTAACCTCGCGCATGCGTTGTTAGATGTGATCGCCTGTAAGGTCGCGCTACTTAGGCGTATTAAATGATTTTCAGGCTGAATGCGAAACGCGACGCGTGTTTTAAGCCTCACTTTATGAGTCATTTATAGCACGCCTCCATTACGTGATTTCAGCACTGTGTGCCCACGAAATTTTACATTACCTGCTGAACAGCCAGAGGAGAACACCTTAAGTGCTCACGTGTGTCGCACGCGATTTCTGTCAGGTCTTCCATGACCTACGGCACTTTTTTCCCCAATGCAGTAATGCTGTATTTCTCCACGTTTGAAATGCGAGTATTGCTCAGCTACGAAGTGATTGGAATATTACGCCAAAAGCGCATTGGGTGCACAACTGGTCATGCCTGGCCGTTGGTGAGCCCAACCCCACACGTTTGTCATTCATCAGTGTCCTGCTTATGCAGTCATTAAGAACAGCAGGAGCCGATAAGTCACTATTCTCCGGGCGCGGCGCGACGGCATTGAGATGATTCTGATATGCTAGAATGGCCTCAGCAATGCGGGGCTCTGCCCCTACAGCCACGCGGCTGGCACCGGCCCCATTGGAAGCTGTGGGGCCCAAAACCGGCGCCGATGGCTTCAAAGACGCTGAGAAGAAGCTAGTGAGGATTGGAGACCTCTGTAGATGGCGCCGAAGTCTTTCACCAGCGCACGCCGCCGCAAGTTCGGCAGCTTTCCAGACCAACGAAGCGGCGAGGTTTTCCTCGCTTGACGGCGAAATCATGTGTGCAGCCTCCACCTCCGCTCGGTTACGACACCTGAGCCCGAGAAGCAGCTGAGTGGTCATTAGCTTGCGCGCAGTTGGCTTGTGGAAGCTGGACTGCTTCTCCACGCGTAGCTCTGCCGGAAGGCGGACTATGCTGACCTCCCCTGAGGATTATTGACGATTGTTGATAATCAGGCGTGTTGTGCATTCGCACCCAATCTTTCTGAAGGCCATGGGGCATTAATTGCGCGTGTTTTGAAACCAAAACATGCCCTTAACTTTTCTGGTTCTAGAGCACCGACGGTTTTTGAGGAACACTGCACGGGGATCTGTGGCCAGTGCGGGCGGTAACTGACGATACTGCGGAACGCACGCGGCGGGGCGACATTGTTACATCAACGGAGCCAAATATAATAAAATTATCCTCAGAACACATACAAATATGCACCATTGTACTCAGAATTCAACCAAGAAACATGACTGCTCAGACTTTGCATCACCACGAGGTATGGTCTCTTATGTATGATGTGGAGCTGAAAAGTGGGATTTCCTGGAAAATTTGACCTTTTGACCTGGAATAATGGGGGCAATTATCGAGCTGACGACATACAAACTTTTATCAATCGCAAGATCTCGTTGAGAACAATCCAATGGTGTTTTTGTCAAAGCTCTATCTTAATTAGTGTGGAAACGCCACGACGAGAGAGGGGTTGCGCTGATCCCCCCTCTCCCTCCCCGCCCATCAATCCCCATTGTAAAAACGGCGAAGCAAGGCAAAACCCTCCGAAGTCAGCTGGGTGGCACCGAGCTAGGTGGAGCTTTCTGCATTGAACCCCTAGCGCCGGGTCAAGGTGACGACAGCGACATGTCACAAAGCTCGCGACATAGGCGGGCGTTTCATGGTCCAGATGTGCTTCGCCATATCGATGTCTAGCCGCCTCTAGCGCCGGGTCAAGGTGACGACAGCGGCATGCCCACAAAGCTCGCGACATAGGCGAGCGTTTCATGGTCCAGATGTGCTTCGCCATATCGATGTCTAGCCGCCTCTAGCGCCGGGTCAAGGTGACGACAGCGACATGTCACAAAGCTCGCGACATAGGCGAGCGTTTCATGGTCCAGATGTGCTTCGCCATATCGATGTCTAGCCGCCTCTAGCGCCGGGTCAAGGTGACGACAGCGGCATGCCACAAAGCTCGCGACATAGGCGAGCGTTTCATGGTCCAGATGTGCTTCGCCATATCGATGTCTAGCCGCCTCTAGCGCCGGGTCAAGGTGACGACAGCGGCATGCCACAAAGCTCGCGGA